TTTGTTTTATGTGCTTGTTTGTCTCTTGGCAGATGTAGCAAATGCTCAACACCTTGTGTTTACTTAACATTTTAAAGACATATTTTTTTCAAACTTGAAGGATTATTTAAGTATTTCTCATACCGTTATCTCCTCATTATAAGGGTGATTATATGGTCTATAAATTGTCAGAAAATAAAAAATGAAAAATATCCATTACAAGTTTAAAAGGCTAAGGTCTTCAAACTACTCAGTAACAGTGAAAACCCCCAAAGATGTTTACTGTACTGTTTATTGTATGTGTACTGTATTCTATGTTTACTGAGTTTACTGTATGTAAGATAAAGAAAAGCAGCAAAATCTCACATCTAGGTAGCTATAAAAACAGACAAACATTGCTTTGTTTTGCTTTGCTTGAAAGATTATTTGATGACTTATCAATTATTACAGTTACAATTACAATTGCAGATTGGTTTTCTTTATCAACTAGTGTACTTTGTATGGACTAATCGTTTTAGTTATTCAAAGAACACATATAAATGTGAGTTAAATATATATATAACAACAATTTACTTTACCTTCAAGTCAGCCTGACTCATGACGTTCGATCAGTCCTCTGGGCATACCCTGAATAAAATCACCACACAACTATGTTTTATTCAGCAAGAATTATGAAGTAGAAACTGTATATCATTCATGGCATATTTAAGTTAGGTTTGCAAATTATTTTTTAGGTATTGCGCGATTAGTCTTACCAATAACAACTTTGGCTTTATGCTTGCATGATGGTTCTTGTGCCACGGAGGGAACAGAGCTCGAGCGGAGGCAAGAGACAGAAGTGGCTCGCGCAGGAATGACTCCTGACTTTTTTTTATAGCTAGCCGTTAGCGTTAGCTAGCGTTAGCTTGCTATCTAGGATTCTGTTAGGTTAGCTATTCGTCTAGTTAGCATGTAATGTTTGTTGTTTTGCTGGTCAAATCTTTCTGTGAGTTAAACTATTCTATGTTTACTACTTTTATATAGCTATTCCAGTAGAAGCCAGCTGAGAAGGAGAAACTTTTAACTTAGCTAAGGTAACGTCAACTGTAAATGTTAGCTTATGTTTGCTAAACTCAGCCCAGCTCTGATGATGTTGCTCTAATCTGACTATACGTTATGTTAGCAAATATTTAGCCATAGAGTGAGTTATATGTATTTCTTGTCACTATTAAAAGAATTCATTTCGGACAGCCCCTCAGCCACTTTGCCACACCATTAACTAACTTGATATAATGTTACCATATTGCTCCTCTGCTTCTGTGGAGTTTGCCTTTGGGGGGCCTCTGTCATTCGCGCTTAGTTTTACATATGTGTTTAACATTTCTGCCGATGTACGATTGACACCTGACGGTGACTGAGTATTGTAGCCACTGTATGTTGTCCTTCAAAGATGGCGGTGCCCCTAAAGTTCCCATTCGTCTTGATTTTTTGGGCTGCTCTGCTTGTTTTCATTTATTTTAGATACAGTGTGTCACACTTTGTCATATTCATTGAACATAATTTAGATTTTTATGCATATGTCCATATGACTCATCACATAAACACACTCTTTACTGTAATATAGTGTTGTATTCAAGTAAAAGCCCTGCACTGAAAATGCTCTTTCAGTAAAGGTATGTAAGTATAATAGGAAAATGTACTTAAAAGTACTGTACTTAGAAAGATGTCTCCTGACTGTTGAACTAGGCTATTATACTGTGTATATATCCCATTAGATTATCATTACTCAGGCATTAAAATGAGTTTTTTACCATTGTAGTTGATTAAGGTGAATCTCATTGCAAAAACCTTATTTGTAAAGTAACTAGTAACTAAAACTGTCAGATCAATGTAGTGGAGTAAAAATTACAATATTCCTCTGAGATGGAGTGGAGTAAAAGTAGAAATTGGCATGAGAAGACTCACGTGTACTTAAAGTAATCGAGTAAATGTGTAAATAGTTCAATTCCACCACTTGGCATAGCTTATTATTCTTCATAAGTTTGTGATTTATGACTTGACTTGACTTGCTTGACTTATGGCAGGAATTTGACTTGACTTTCTTGACTCTCACCACAGTGACTTGAAACTTGGATGTGACTTGCACATGTGTGATCTACTTCCACCTCTGTTGTATAATTCAGGGAGTTGTAGAAAATCCATGTACCGTTTTGGTGATATTGTCTATGTGATAGAAATCCAGATAAACAGACACCAAACCAATACAGATGTAGCAAACAGAAGCTATATTATTTAGGTATTGGACTGAATATGACTGGGTTTATTTATGTGTACAGTGGTCTAAGAGATGATGCAAGATCAAAGGTATGAGGGCGAAATGTGTTTTGGGTGGTGAGGACAGAAATTGGCTTAGAAGTGGAGAAGTAAGTCAGAGACAGATGAGAAGGGCTGAAGATCAAACAGCACACACACTTTCACACAATATGCCCTTTATTACCGGTAAAATAGCCCCTTTCTGTGAAGATCAGAACAGAGCAGGGTTTCAGGACAGTGGATTTAAGAGCTCGGATGATAAAGAGCCTCAGAGCTCAGCTTTCGATCGTAAGGGATTAGTTCTGTCAATGGCTTTTGCTCTGATAAGAGCAGTCCAAGTCTTCCGGTGTTCTCCACAGGACATGTTATTTCTGCCTATATTTTGAATTTAAATCTGGTGTGATGCTGTCGGTGCCTCAGTCTTGTTTTTGTTCACAGATTGTGGGCATCAGCAGGCCTATATGACTCTGTGTGCTTTGTGTTAAAACCCTGTGACAGACAAATGATGTAAGGCAGGCCCAGTGGCAGATTTATGGCAACATGATGACAGAAAGTTGAAATATTCCATCCTCCTTTAAATGAATTCTTCACTCAAATATGAAAAGGAACTTGTAAACAACATTGGCGTCTGTAAGTCCTTAGAAATGCAGTACCCCAAACCTTGGACACAGGCTGATTAAAAAAAATCCAGCCAACCAGGGTGAAGAAGCTTACCTGTTGAGCTTGGAATAAATAAAATACAAAGACTGCAAGTAATGATTATTTTCATTATAAATACCTGTTTGTTTTTGTATGTATGTTTGTTGGTTTGTTTGAAGGTTTTTGTCACTTATTGTACAAAATGTCAAAAAAAAAAAAAAAAAAAAGAAAGACGCTAAATGCCATTTCCTAGAGCCCAATGTGAGATCTACAAATGACATATTTTGTCCAACCAAGAGTCCAAAAGATATTCAATTGACATTCATTTAAAAATCATTTAATTAGCAAATTTTCATATTTGAGAAGCAGAAGTCAGTGAATGTTTAGCATTTTTGGTTGAAAAATGCTTAAGACAATTGCATAATCCAGTTGCATTTTACACTTCTATCTGTATATTAGTATATTGGTATGCTGCTATGAATTGGTCCTCAACACAACTTAAGAAATACCAAAAAGCCCCCCAAACCTATATGCTTGTGGAAAATTTTAGAGTATTCTGTTGCCTTATTGCCTTTTTTCAGCAGTTTCCTCTCACTCTGCGGTCCTGTCTGTTCTCGCCCACTGAGGTGTGGAAATGAAATGACTAATTGTACCGATGCATGGCAGAATAGGGGGGCATTGATGTTGCTAAATAAGGGGTTTCCCTCTAGTAATGATGATACTGGTGACCAGACACAAAAAGACAGATTCACACAGACATACATCCCATAATAACAGGGTTTCAGATGGTTCAATTAACTCGCATGAGGGGTTTTCCCCTCTTCGTCCCTCTGGCCACATCCTCTATGTTGCATGACAGATTCTTGCCTTTTGACAGATGGGCCTTTTTCCATCAGATGATGCTTGTGAAGCTGTAAAAAGGAAAAAATGAATGGCTTTTTGTCTGATACATATGGATTATGTAGAGATGTGTCTATAAAAAGCTTAGTGGTCTAGACTGTCTTTTTCATAAAAAGGACTTGAGCACTAAATTTAGATGATGACACTGAGCATATTAACTAGTGCTGCTAGTTACATTGATAAAATACTGTTATAGTCTCCAGTGTTCTGTTTATGCTCCATTCTGTCTATTTTGGTTTGCTTTCTGCTGCTGTAATGACCCATTTTCCCCACAGGAATCACTAGAGTTTCTCTTTCTGTTATGGTCTAACCCTTGCATCATCACAGTGTAACACTTTTGACAGCACTACTGCCAGTGTTCATCATTTATCTGCAATGTCCTTAATAGTTCAGATGGCTGTAAACAACAAGTTAACAATCTTCATTCATTTCCCCCGAAGTGAGGACCTTCTGTCCATAATAAACTCTTGAAGAACTTGACCAATCGAGGGAGAATTTGCAGCCCTAGATGGCAAAATATGTTGTCTGCTTTGCATATGCCTTGTGGCATAGTTCCAGCAGAACTTTCTGGCCTCCAAACAGATTCTCAAAGTCTAATTTTCAGCCATTAAATAGCTGACTTTCAGTCATTATTGCACAAAACCTACTTTAGCAGTCATTTTTTCACATTAGTCTCCTCAGAAGTCAGGAAAAGCCTCTGAGTTATGTGAAAATTTATAACCTAGTTTCTTACATAATTTTCCATGTTCATCATAGCCTATTTATTCATGTTCTATTTACAGTGGTGCTTACCGCTCATGATTAAGACTAGAGCAAATGTACTTTAATGTTGTTGACTGCATGGGCTGATTATCACTACAGGGCAATGGTTTGTTATTATGTCTGTGTTTTTTGGTCATTTTGGTAATTACACGGTCTCCTAGATTTGATAGAATTGCTTGCTTCCTCGGGTTTTAAACATTAGCGCATGTATTTGTTGGGGTTGAGAGGGGTGCTGCATTTTTACATGCTAGATGAAATTCAAACTTGGTGTCAATTTGACACAAATCATGACATGTAGAGTAAGAAGTGTAGAATGCATGTACATCATTATCAGGATGAAGTGTGGTATAAAGCTCAAAAGCTTTTGTTATCCTTTCTCAATTCCTTTGTTACTGATTGTTGTAGTATTTTATGTTTGTTGCTTTTAGATGTCCATGGACAACAGAAAAAGGCCGGTGGGTTCCTCCAACACTGGAAACTTGGTTTGCTGGTCCTCCCCGTTTCCGCGTCAACCTGCCAGGGTCCTGATTGTGGAGGCACTGCCACCCTGGTGGTCAGAGACCTGTATGGTGCTCTGTGATGCTCTGGATAACTTCCTGTCCCTAGCCTGTAGTCTGGATGGACCCTGTAGGATACCTCTACTCAGCCTGTATGCCATCAGCAGACAGCAGGAATGTCTACTGCCGTTTGTGGTAAGGTAGAGGAAGGTGAAGTGTTTCTAAGAGTTATTATTGCTGTCACTTATGCTCCTCTTTTTTCTGTCCTCTGATTTTAGCAGGTTCGTGGTAACCTGGCCAGGCTACGTTCCTGTGTTGAGGAGCTGAGGACAATTCCAGGTGAAGGCTGTATCAGAGGAGCAGCCAGAGGAGGAGAGCTGCTGCGGCAGGCAGTGCTGGACAGTCTGCAGCAGTTTAAACAGTACATCAGACATACCAGTGCTGGCAGCCAGGCCAGCAACAGCATATCTGTGGAGGTGAGCAAGGAACAACCCTCTGCATGCACAAGCAGCACAACAAGAAAACAATTTATTCATAAAATCAAACACTGTAAAAGAAAAAACCCAAAAAACTTGCACCATGATGACATATGATATATATGGTCAGTTAGCTGCACTGAGGCATCATTCTGATGGGATTTTTAAAAGACATGCGTCTGAGGTTGACTGACAAGTAGCTGCAAAAGATAGCCTATCATAGGCCAGCATAATACTCCAGGGCAACAAACAGAATCTAACTTGTTGCTGTATCTGAGGGGGCTTTCAAAGTGTTCTTTAATTCAGTCCTGAGAGAACAACATAGTTACTCAATGTATTTCCCTTTTTCCACCCACTTGCTGTAATGAACCTGTTACATTAAGCATCACCTCTGTTTCACCATTATCAAATTCCTTGTATGTGTGCACATCCTTGGCCAATAAAGGTAATCTTAAGTAGAGATGCTGGGGCTTGAACCCAGGACCTCATACATGCAAAGCACACGCTCTACCACTGAGCTACATCCCCATATATTACTAAGCAACATATCTCACTCTGTAAAACAAACGTTGGAACCACATTCACGACAAGCCAAGTCGTGTGTATCAAAATTATTTGATTCTGAATAGTTTTATGAGTGTAGTGTTCAATTTATGTTAGGGTGCTAGCTTCAGATGTTTCAGTGCTGCAGTGCTTTAATAATTAGGACTTCCTGAACCCGGTGTAGCATGGTGCCACAAAAAGTGGAGATGCTGGGGACAGAACTGAGGTCCTCATATGTGCAAAGTATGTGCTCTACCACTAAGCTACTGTACTCTTCCACAAAGCTTAATCTCTATAACAAACCTGTTGACCATGTTTACAGTCATGCAACTGCATTTATGTTTATCTGGCTTAGAATCGTGTAATTAGTGCTGCAGTGTTTAACAACAATCACTCCCTGTAATCAACTTCTGAACACTTTGTTGTATGGTGCCTCAAGAGGTGGACATAAAGGGGATTTAACCTAGGACATCATACGCACAAGGCATGTGCTCTACCACTGAGCCACATCCTATCCTATGGTTTGTAAATATTTCCAAGAAAACTGGTTCAATGCTACACACTTAAACACCCTGAACAACAGGAAAACTGCTAAATCTCTTCTTTCTCATTGTATTTCAGTTATCCAACAACATAACTTTTAGTGACAGCCAAAAGTGGTAAAGACCGGGACAAATACAGTGTGGTTACTCTCCCGAGTCTCAGCTGTGTATACTGTGTAAGCACACAATTTAGATGGTTTTGTTTACATATTTTTCTGCTCTCTTCTCAGACAATTGGCAATAAAACAATTACATAACAATAAATGATATGGCATGGCAAAAGTTATTCCTGGGTGGCTGTGTGTAACATAAAGACAGGTTCATGACAATGGCTGTTCTGCATTGTAGGCTATGTCGACAATAAATATGAGCAAACACAGAGAGGATTACAGGTAGCAAGAAGCTTTTTTTTTTTAGTTTTTAGTAACACATAGCTTTGGACCATGACTTAACGGGCTTACATCATCATCTTTTCCCCCCATTCTCACTAAAGTGCAGGGCCAGCCTTTTTAGCTGATCCACTGTAGACAGCCCTCTTGAAAAGCTCAAATTTCATGTGAGAAATGGGGGAAGGAGGGTGTGTTACGAACTTTGGTGTTATGTAAGTGCACATAGTAGCAGTCTTCAGTTTGTGTGATAAAGTTTCCCACTTAAAACACCCTTTTAATATTGATCATTTCCTTTTTATGAGTGAGGGGAGGCTCTTAAGACTCGATAAGTGGAGATGCTGGGGATTGAACCCAGGACCTCATACATGCGAAGCATGCGCTCTACCACTGAGCTACATCCCCTCTACTTTATCAAAAAGGTCCAAGGAGATTGCAGCCTCTAGGACAAAACGTATCTTTTTAGTTTTGCACAGCTTTCTTGTATAGGAAGTAATTTCACTAAATATTTTCCTGTTTCTCTCCTCAGATCCATTATGGAGGAGCGTCTCTTCAGCTGCAGACTAGCTCAGACTGAATAGACCCCTTTGATATTGCAGCTTTGTACTTCATGCTAATGTAGGGAAAATGCTCCACTTATATCTGTTAAATGAGGTCTATTCAGGTCCAGTTCAGTGTATTTAGCAGCTGCAAAAACATATTGAATTAGAAATCTAATTTGCATTTTTAAAAGCTGAAAAAAAACAAACCTCTGTTAACAGTCCACTTTAGTGGCTGTGGACGCTTCGCATCTTATATCAGACAGTTCACTTTAAACCAGCTTATGTACATTTCAAATGTAGCAAATGAGCTCTATTCATCTCCTGCTGAGCCATCTGTCTAGGAAGAGTTGTAAAAATACATCATAAAGCTTCACTAGTTTTCAGTGCCTTCCTGCTAGAGTATCCGCTCTGATCAGCTATCACATTCAAGTGGCAAATCCTGTGAGCATTTGAACCACTTTACTTTTTGAGTTGCACCCACTTTTGTACAGTCTATGTTAAAATGGTTTCCGTTGTGTAATTTGTTTCCACTCACTGATGTATATTGCTTCATCATGATTTAAGTGGATGGAATCGTTTTAAAAAAAAAAGGTCAATAAAAGGTCACAGCTATTACTTGGATGCGGCACATTTAATAGAACTTTTAATTCCTCTTTATGTTATGTAATTCAGAGACAGATTTGGGCTAATATTCCACACATGCTCCAGGCTCAAATCTTGAGACACAAATACAACATTTTTGTATTTCAGCAAATGAGAGTTTAGGGGAATAGGAATATTAGCTGACATTACTGAATGCACCTCATTTTTGAAATTTAAATGTTGGACATATGGGGAGCCAGCTGAGAAAATAGCCAGTCACTGCCTTTCTTGTTAGATTTGAACAACATGTCCTGCGGATACAAGGCTCTGCACAAATCCGCACAGCTTTATTAGGAAGCTCTGGACAGATGATTACACTAAGACCCACTGTTTCCGACAGCAGCAGATATGAATAGCACCATTAGGAAATGGAGAGACACTTAGCAGAGACATGGCCCTGTGTAACGCTGGCTGTGTGTGTGTGTGTGTGTGTCTTGCTTATTCACTTTAAATACGTATATGTCATTGTGTATACGTTTCTAGCATTCGTTTGTGCGTGTGTCTATCTCTATGATGCTTCAGCAACACATTCTACTTCCGTCCAAACAGCAGGAAGCAGAGAGCAGAACTCATCAATAATCCCATTATAATCATCATTTACTGTGTGATTCAGTAGGGTGCTCAACATCAGCCTAACATTAGTTTATCTGTCTTCCTCCCATTAGGCGTGTAAATGCCACAAAAACTAATTCTCATATCTTTCCATCATCAGGACTTATTTTAAGATGCTGCCATTTGCGCAAATATCCTGCAGAAATCATTATCAAAAAATAACGGATTAGTAAAAACATTTTACAGTGCGTTACCAGCAGTTCTATTTATTTATGATGCCATGATGTGAGATAATGATAGCTCAGTTCCAGAAAACATTAAAATCACAGATCACAAGACGGCAGTTTTCTCATGAAAACATAGTTTCACAGTACAGAGAGTTGTGTCATAAAACATGTGGTATCCCACTTTGCAGTTAGGGTGGGAGTTTGCTTTAGTGGGCCCACATAGGACAGTGGTTCTTACATCATTTGTTTAATTTAGTAACAATAATTTACTGTATGTCGTGTCCCTGAAGTACAACAGAAACACAACAGTCAGACTCAAAGAATGCTTTGCTGTGGTGATGTTGTGGTCTGTTTTTTTGAAGATATGAAAACTTCGAACACTTGATCTTTCATAACGCCAGCTGTAACAATTCAGCAGGGAGTTGTGGGCAGGAACAGCTATGTGGCTTAATAATAGCAAAATTGAAATCGATTGAGATTTTTCTTCTTTCAAATACATTTCCGCAATGCTCTAAAAGAAATTTGCATAAGCACATATGAAGGCAAAGGTGTTGTAGCTGTTTTGAAAGGCCACACTGGGGTGAAAAGCCTGCTGTCATAGAGATGGCATGACACGATGAAATGTAAACTGTAATGTATTGTTTCTGTTTGGGGTTGTAACTGTAGGTTTTTCTTGTTTGATAGAGCTGGGTATCGGTACCGGCCCACTACTGCAACAGCTACAACCCATACACTCTGTGGTGTGGTGAAAGTATGGATATACTATATGCCACTCTATTAGCATGATCGGTATCAAATTAAGTAAACAAAAAAAAAGGTATTGAATCAAGTACTCCATTGGTATCGATATCACTTTAAGGGTATTGGTAGTTTTATTGGTACCGTCCCAGCTGTGTTTTTTGGCTTGATATCCTTTAAGTCCATTTTATTCCAAGTTCTCTGGGGCGTTCTTCCATTTCCTCTTGCTATATTCACAGATCACTGTTATGACCAGCCAGCCAGGGCGAGGCATTGTTCGCCAGTTGGAGATGGGGCTCAAAGATGCTGACCTGGTGTCACTAAAGCGGCTCCTGGTGGTGCAGATCTACAATGCGGCAGACTGGGGTCAGGACAACCTCTCACCTGAAGCCACACAGACTGAGGCTGAAGGTAGGAAAAAATCAGTACACGCAGACACACGATTATACACTTACACACTGGATCCCAAGACGCATTCACGCAATCAGTCAAACATCTTTAAGAAAAGTCTGCTATCTATTTCCTTTACTCCCCCTCACTTTCCACATACTTTTCCCCTGTGCTTTCTTAATCATCTTCAGTTGTGAGTTGTGTAGCATTGACCCATTTATAACACTACACTGTTTGTCCCATATCTCCAGTCTACACTTGAGACGCATGTCACAATTATAGAACTTGGCGACAATCCAAACATCTCCCAATCGTCTCAGAAAAGACTAATTTTATAATGATATGTCGTTCTTTGTAATTACATGAGGGTTCAAGTGGTGTGGTCTGAATAAGTAGAGAGTGCAGTGAAGACTGGATAGGAATGAAGGGGAGGAAAAATAGCAAGTGAGAGAAAAACACACAGGGTGGAGGGAGAGGAGGAAAAATGAGAGCAAGTGTAAGAGAGAGGGGTGTGGTAAACACACTCAGTGAAGTCTTTCTTGTAAAAATATTTATGCACCGTCTGAAATATTCATTCCATGGTGATAAACAGTTATCTGTATCAGTGGAGAAAGCCACTGAACTCACTGCAACTTTGTTTTCACAGAAGTGTTTGAGATGCTGGAAACAAGATACTAATGATGTTGTGAGTTTTTACTCACCTGACACAATTATGTCAGTAATGTTATTCTGCCTTGTTTGTTGTTATCACACACACCCCCCCTCTTAGTTATTTTTACATCAGATCCAAAGTGGTAAGTCGTAGATTTGACCCAGTTCCCCCCAATAAACCAACCATTATTCCCCTTGGAGTCAATCCTAGTTTGGAGTAGCCTTTGAAAAACAGATCTACTAGGTCATGGTAAAATAGATCTACTATTAAATGGGGTGCTTCTTATGAATTACACACATCATTAGAAGTTAGTTGTGGAGCTATCAAGGACCATAATATAACTAATTCCCCTGCTCTGTAGTGTTATCCTTGATAAGCAAGCCAAGATGTAAATCTTGTTTTTTATTGTCAACCAAACTGAATTAAATGATAAAACATGGATAAAGAATGTCCGCAAGGGTGCGGAGGACTTCAAGAGTTGTTAAAAGTAGATGGTATCCAGTTTTATGTTGCTTTACCAGATAATTACAGGAATTATAAAAGAAACTGTCACACAAAATTATGTTTATATCTTCAGATTTTTCTCATTTTGTTATTTATATAAGGAAACATAACAGTTGTTAAACTGCTCACAACTCAAGTCCATAGTGAGGCCGTGCTCAGTAATGATAGGTTACAAGTAGACTTCATTTTAAAGGATCACAAGTAGGGATGTCCCAGTCAACTTATATTGCCCCTGATCCAAGTGATTTAATAGTGAGTATCTGCCAGTCTGCAAGTCCCGATCCGATTGTAGAAATAGAGATGAGCATGTTGGGTACAACTTAAGTTACCTTCAGGGACACACACCAGACACAACACCAGTTCATTGGGGTCAGTGATTCAGTTTGGGAATAGGCAACTAGTGATGATGGTTAGGATAAAGAAGACTTTTACCATAAGAGATGGAGATGCTGGGGATTGAACCCAGGACCTCATACATGCGAAGCATGCGCTCTACCACTGAGCTACATCCCCTTGTTCTTGTGCATATTCTATCCTGCTAAAAGAGGGGTGTCAAACATAGGGCCTGGGGTCAGAACCGGCCCGCCAAAGGGTCCAATCCAGCCCACTAGATGACTTTGCACACCTAATATTGTTGCACCTGTGAAGGCTAAGAGGTACCAGTTTTAAACAGTGAGAATAGCATAATAAGACCAGAATACTGCTCTCTGAAATAACAGTGAATACTTACTGTGGTCATATTTAAAGATATTGAACATTGTGCACAGTTGACCTAAGTAAACGTGATTACATTTAGTCTGACTGTAAAAAAGTATCTGAAAGACCATCAGGAATCACTCCTCTCTTACAGATTCCTTTGTATTTATTGTATATATATCAATTAATATGAGTGATAATTATTCCTGTCTCTCTATAGTGTCTACTAAAAAAAACAATGCCATTGATCAGAGTAATGTTTGGAATGGAGCCTCTGAGACATTGTTATGTAGTAACCACATTTGATGACCATGAGGCCTACACCCTTTTAGCTGCTGTGATGCCATTGGGACTACCGCGCTCCTCCACAGTGTCTTCAAGTGTTTACAGCACTGAGTGTTTGAAACATAATAGTCTCCAGCTCTTTGATACTGCAGCCCACACCCTCTTCATTATGTCAACAGCAGTGGTGCTACTAGACCACTGATGTTCCACATAAGGCTGTTTTATTAGAAATGGTTCTTTCCACATTGGAGAAAACATTATTGCTGTTCCCATAACATCTTCGCACCCAGTGCTATTGCTTGTACACGGATGTAGGTGGCTTAGAGCACAGATCTTCTACTATGTGACAGAATTGTCAGTTTGCCTCCTCCTATGTTTTCTGTCACCATCAGTTTTCTCATAAATACAAAAGGTTTTTACAAACAATGCATTATACAGTAAATTTCTTCTTTTTCTTTCGTTGCTGTGACACCAATTGGCTCAACAATATGTACAGTATAACTTGTGACAGTTGCTTGTTTGAAAAAGTTGACAAAACAACCAGGCCCTAAGATACCTCCTTAAATATGGGACCACACATTTTGAATGAAAACCAGAGTCCTGAATGTATTCAGTTCGGTTCAGTCTGTGTCATTACTCACAGTAAAACCACAAACATTTTGGATGAAGTTCTGTGAGAACAGAGAAGGGAATGGGGTCAAGGCTGCATCCAAGAGCTCCAGTGACCTCCAGAGTTTATCTGGCTGAAAGCTGAAGCAAGCAATCAAAGATAAGAAGTTTAACTGTCTAGCCTGTGTGAATTCTGCTCAGACTTACTGGACACTCACAAAGGTCATGAAATTGTTTTGAAAAGTAGTTCAGGCACTGCTACCAAACAACTCCCTGTAGTGAAACTTTGACAGGGCGTTTTCTAAGTAAAAAGTAGTTTAGATACCTTCAGTTAGGGTGTAACCCACAAGGAAAGAGCTGCTTAGAAATGACAGTTTTCCATTTCCTTTGTCATTTATTATCACTTATTATCATTAACGTGATCCTTAGGGACCTTGTGGTTTAACTTTACCAATAAGCCATGGGATCTAACACGTATGCTGAACAGCTGAATGACCAATTGTCCAGTTTATTCTGGAGCAGACCATAATTTTGGTTTTGAAAATAGATGTGCAACTAATATGCCAAATCTAATATGCAAAAAAATGTAGGAAGCAATGTTTACTCTGGGAATACTCTGGAATCTGGGTGCGCTGTGGAATCTTAATAGTCTCCTTGTGTGTATGCTGGGTGGGAATGCTCTGTTAGAAAGAGAGAGAGAGTGAGATTGAAGCAAATACGTCTCACTTAACACCAGACTATTTATTTTGGCCGTGTGTGCATGTGTGTTTCTGAGTGTGTGTCAGTCAGTCCTTGGAGAGCACTATATTATAGGAAGTGGGTGGAGTATCCATTTTCTTTTTGTACTAAAGTGAGCGAAAGCCATAACTAATTGTTTTATACTCTCGCTCTCTGTCTCTCATCATTACTCACTTATCTCATGGTAGGATAAGTGGTCACAGCTCTTGTCAAGAATAAAGAAGGGTTATTACATAACTGTATATTCGCATGTGTGTGTGAGAGAGAGAAAGACAAGTGAAAACACACAGAACTGAATACACACACAGTACAGTGATTGATAGAAACATCAGTAAGACGACAGTTATGCAAATGCCTCATTTTTCAAAAAGCTGACAGCTGTTTTCCTCAAACTTTGTGTGTGTGTGTATGTGTGTGTGTGCAGCATAATTGATAGTGACTGGCATGCAGTTATGATGGTTAAGGTTAGGGTCAAGGAAATGCTTTATGTCAATGAGGGTCCTCACAAGTATAAAAGCACAAATGTGTGTGTGACTCTGAGGGCTGACGCCTTGATAAGCATCCTGTTTTTGTTGAAACTCAACCAGTGTGTCCTTGAATCCCCGGCCTGTTCTGTAATTGTACAGTTGTGCACCAGGGAGAAGATCGAGAAATGGGTCACAGAGCCAGAGGAGCAGAGTGAGACAGAGACAGGGATGATTATGGCACCAGTGGTTTTGGTTTTCCTCCTCGCAGTCAAACAGCTACGTTGTTGACTGAAACAGATTCAACAAGTTGTCCCACACCGGATGCATCGGTTCCTTAGGGAGAAACAGTAACAAAAACTATTACATTGTTTAGATTCATATGAGAAAAATTTATTGTATTGTTTCCCTTAGCTATAAAGTTGTGTTGAAATAAAACAAATTAAATCTGTAAGTTGTGCAACACTCTAAATTGACTCAAAACTAATTTTTGGTACCAGGTCCTTGTCTGTATTTCGTTTTCCACTGCCGTTAGTACCCACTCAGTGTAGGCGAGGATAAAATAAAATGTGGTTGCTACTAAAGAGAGCTTGGCAATTCAAAAGTGATGGGTTTCTGCCGGATATCCCATGTTGCACTAGTGACACATTCTCTGACCAATTAGTGGTCTGCAGTTTTTAACTCCACCCTCTTGTATTGGTTCAGTTAACGTGGAACCTCAACCAAGATATTACCAAAAAAGTACCAGGTACTATATACAACTACTACAACAGCTGAGCTGAGCTGAGCTGAGCTGAGTTGAGTTGAGTAGGCCCTGCCGTACCATGCAGAGGAAATGCAGCAAAACATGAATAATAACCATTTCTCAAGTCAAGTGTAGCAGGGCTGTTGCATGTCTTCCCCCCTCTCTCCCTGCTTGTGTATCTTCAGTTTCTGCAAGAACTAGTAGTTGTAACTGCATTCTTCCACATGGTAGACACGTAGGATACTGTGTCATAAAAGCCAGACAGATAATAACTATTGCAGACAAAACTTACAGTCTATAAGTGCTTGCTTTTTTCCCATTGGGCATT